GGGGGCCTGGCCCCGGGCGGGCGGCCGTGGCCACTGCCGGAGGGCGGCTGCTCACCCGGGGGCGGCGGCGGCAGGCGGCGCGGCGGATTGGGTGCGGCTGTGGTGAGGTCGGTGCGGTTGTAGTCCATGCACAGCGTGTCGGGGTTGCCCTGCTCCGGCAGCCGGTCGCAGCGCATGCGGTCGGGCCAGGCGAAGCCGTACTGGCGCATGAGGGGTGCGCAGCCGGCCTTGGCGCGCTCGCAGACCGAGCGGCAAGGAGGCAGGGGCTTCTTGTAGTCCTCCAGGCAGATGGGCGTGTACATGCTGCACAGGAAGAACTTGAGGTCGGGCGAGCACTGGATCTCTACTAGCGGCCAGAACTGGTGCACCTCAAGGCCCGCCTCGTCCTGCGTGTCGTGGTTGAACTGGTTGGGCATGTACGTGTAGTTGTAGCCGATGCCCTTGCACAGCGGCACGGTGATCTCTTGGCAAGCCAGCTCCTTAGCCGAGGCAGCCGCCGCACCGCTCGAGCGCTGCAACAGCGCCAAGGCGGCCAGCAAAGAGGTCACTTCCAACAGGTAACCCCACTCCATGCTGCGCGCCTCGGCCCCGCGCCCTCGCCCTCCAGGCGGAACGCGGAGGGGCGCCGGGGGATACGGCAAGGGAGCCGGAGAAGGGGAGAGCGGGTGCCCTGCAGGTCTCCTTGCTGCCTCTCCCGGAAGGCGGGCGGAGTGAGGGGGTGGGGGGGTGTCTTGCAGTTAACCTAGTCCCTTCTCGGGACGCGTCCGCACCGCGGGGCCCGAAGCCTGGGCAGCGGCAGTGAGGGTGGCCGCAGGCGTGCACCACAGTCCCCGAGAGTCTGCCCTGATGACTCCGGGTCGGTCGAACTCAGCCCTCTCGCAGCACAGTGGCTAGCCCCCCGCTCATCGTCCCTCTCTCGCTCGCTTTCTCTCCGGCGCGCCCGGCCACTTCTCCACGCGGCGCCGGGGACGGTGCGGTGACTTTGCCGGGCACAGAGGGCGGCGGCACAGCAAGTTTCCTTTCGGGCCTCGGTGCGCAGTCAAGATGGCTGGGCCAGGCCGCTCGCCGCTCAGGGTCAGCCCCTGCAGCCCCCTTTCTGTCCCCAGGGACTCATGCTTGCCCCCCAACGCTGCGCTGCTCTGCAGCCGGAGTTCGGGACCCGCCTCCGCAGAGGCCGCCGCCCTCTCTCCCAGGCGTCGGTCCGTCGGTCCGCCGCCGGGACTGACAGACTCCACCTCCGGTAAAAGTCCGCTCCGCGCTTCGGCCAGGAATCCGGCGAGGTGTAGGCAGTCCCCTTCTTGCTAGATACACGGAACCAAATCCAGACCAGAAGGCGGAATAGACACCTGAGCGGCGCGGCCCGCGCCCAGCCACCACTGCCTCCGCCGCCGCCTCCTGTTCCTCCACCTCCTCCTCCTCTTCCTCCTCCTCCTCCTCGGCGGGAGCAGCGCCCTTCACCCAACTTCCCGGCTCCGGCCCCGCTCGCACCGCCCGGCCGGCTCATGAATATTTATACAGCGCGGATTCGGTCTCCGCCCTCAGCCGGGCGCGCCAATCGCCGGGAGAGGGGGCGGAGTCTACGCGCTCCCAAGTCTCAGCCTTCCTTAAGGCGGTCCGGAGTGTCCCTGCGGCCATGCGAGCCCTCTGCGGATGAAGAGTTTTGGTAACCTTGGGTTTGACCGCAGAGACCGAGGTTTTGCCACGATTGTCTCCACAGCGCTCAGTGCGTTTGAGTTCTTGGTTTCTTTTCCCCGAGTCTGCACTTGGGGACTGGGATGGGGGTTTTCTGCCTGCGCGTGCGTTTTTAGGTTCCTTTCAAACAAGTCACGTCCCTGCCTACTGCTGCTGCCTGATGTGGGTGACCCCGCGCCCCTCTGTGAGCCGGGTCGGTGGGGAACCCACCCCCACCGGAGTGCACGGGAGCTTGACTGGGGCCGGGCTGTGCGGGAGAACCGGGAAGGTGTGCTCCTCTTGGGGTTTTTAGAATGATGATGTTTGAGGCTTGGAAGCGTGAGAGGAGTGGGAGACTGCAATTCATTCTGGATAGTGGGGCTGGACCGAGGGCGCCCCAGAAGGTGTACGGGAGCACAGCCGCCAGCACGCGAGGGGCGGGAGAGGCTCCAGGCACAAGGGCGGGCCCAGGATTCTCCCGCCTCCGCTGATTGGTCAGGGGAGCCTCAGTTTTCTTGCCTGAAAAGTGGGGTAGTAGTACAGATTTCAAAGGGGGTTCCGCTAATTAGGTGGGATAAAATACGTCAAGCATCTGGGACGAAGTTCTTCCTTATGAAGATATAGTTCCCTTCCAGAAAGAAAAGAAAAAGGAAAGAAAGGGAGAGGAAGGAAAAGAAAGAAAGAGTAAAAGAAAAAGTAAAAGAGTAAAAGAAAAAGAAAAAAAAGTAAGTAAGTTATAAATAGGACGGACTGGAAACTGCGGCTGGCTTCCCTCTCTTCGCTTCGTACTTTTGGAACATATGTATGTCTATCCAAAGTTCACATTTTTTCCAGAGCCTCCTTTTCTACCGTGGGAGGCGGTGCTGAGCCCTGGCGCCGACGCACCGACACGTATCAGCGATCCGCAAGGAGCAGAGGGGACCTGAGCTGCTTTTAGCAGCCACTTGGGACACCGCCAATGAGCACTTGCCCCCGCCAGCTCCGCAACTACCTTAAGACAGGGAGGGGAGGCGGAGGCCTGAAGGGCCGGCGGCCTGGCAGGTTCATTTACGCTTGTTAGGACGTCCCAGGGGGTTGTCTTTCTCCTAGAATGGAGTGTTTATTTTTTAATTGATGTGCTGTTTCATTTAGCGCTTGTATGGAACTCATGCTGTGGCTGTAATTACTGTAATCTCGGGAACAAGCATTTCAGTTAGCCAGGAGGGTGGCAAAATACGTTCTCTCTCTCTCTGTCTCCCATTCTCTCCCCCCATTTTCTCTCTCTCCTCTCTCTCTCTTTCTGTTTCAGGATTTTTGCTGTTTGTCAGGTTTCATGGCAGGAACGAGTAGGACTGGAGAACCAAGGTTGTTGAGGGTGTGGGAACAAAGAATTAAGGGTGCATTTGAGGCCACTTCAGTTTTTTGGGGAGAGGGGGTATGGTGGTGGTAGTTGTCTGTTTAAAAACAACTCTTGTCATGAAACAAAAATAATTAATTAGCAGCATTTGTATATTGCTTGAGCTAATGGAATCTGCGTCTTCCTCCTGTTTTCTCTAGCTTAGTTCAGCAACCTCATTATGCACCACATTCTAAACAGGCAGAACTACCTCGGCCCCCTGCCCTCACCCACCCTTGGGTTTTGGCAAATTCTGTATTTTGGCCAAAAATTCTAGGCATATCTATCAGGCTGTATATCTTTTTCTTTTTTCTTTTAATTGAAATCTAGTTAAACCTCCTTATTCTGAAAAACAACACTTCCTTCCCACTTTTGTTTTGGAAAAACTAAACTCCGTAGGAATCAAATTCAAAGGCTTGAGAAATACTGTAGTAGCTAATTCAGCAGAAAATGATTTCTATTCAAAAATGCAAAGACTTGACCTTTACTTGGTCTTTTTTTATGGATTCCTTTCCCCTTTCCTCCTATTTGGAATTCCCTTTTATGGTGTGCTGAATGTAGAGAGTCACCTCTTTGGTTAGTACCTTGTTCATCCTGGGCCATTCCCCAGGACAGTCAGCTGCAGAGCAACAACAGGGAATCGCAGGAGCCCTGAGAGCAGTGAGAAGGCAGTCCCCTCTGTGAGGACCTGCCTGGCACGAGGTTGCCCAGACCACGGATGGGGAGGGGCTGGTCTCCAAAAGCAACACAGGTGGTGAAAAGTTCTACTGCTTTTCTTCAGTAGGGAAACCATCAAATAGCAAAGTTTAGAATTACACTATATAAATTTACTAGAATTAGGTAAAAACAAACTGACATTTGAAAATTGAGGCTGAAAATAGTTGGTTTTGGCTTTTAATCGGCATTTCAACTTTTTTTCTTTTTTCTTTTGAGACAAGATGAAAGCTCTGATGATGTGGAATGTGGAAACTTTTGGTAAGTATATTAAGCTTGCAGGAGAAAATAAGCAGACAAAAGTTCAGAGCTCTCAAAAATCATAGTACAAGCTATTTGGGAGATCTTACTGATTTGTGAGATTGAAACCATTTACCTAAAAATCATTAAAATTTACTTTTAATTGAGAGAATATAAGAGTAGCATTTAAAATTACTACTAAATGGCTACTTAACAATCTTTGAGAGCAGAAGAGACTTATGAAGCTAATTAGTGTATAAAAAGCAATGACAGCTAAAAGACACCAGAATCATTTATCAACATTGCTGGCTAAATAGTGATCTTTTTTCCTCTTGTATGTAAACCAGCTGTTTTTTAAGGGAGGGGAAATAGTTTTAGCAGTGACATAAATAATGTAGGAAACTTTCTAGAGGGATTTCTGAACAGATGTCTTGTTACTGAATAGCCTACAAGCATAATAATATATACAGTTGAGGCAGGAAGCTAATTCAGAGGAGGGAATATTTCATAAAACATTGGATATCAAATTAGATAGGAGACTATCAATATAGTGTATGTCTTGAATTTAGAAACTTTGGGGAAATTATGTTTCAGTGGATTATAGTTTAAAAATCCAACATAAAAATCTTGATGCCAGAGTGGGCCCATGTATCAATGTCAATAAAATGATCCATTCAAGATTAAGTGGAGAACCCTTTAGTAACTAATGAAAATCCTCAGGCATTATATAAAACAACAATTGTTTCTCCTAAAAGCTTATTTTCTTTCAGGGAAACAACCAAATACTATATTATTAGAGAATATACAACTTGATAGGGTAATATTGGGGTTTCTTGGTGTTTTAAAATCTTTCAAAAAATTATGTTTTGAATCACCCACTACATAGATGGAAGAGAAGGTAGAGGTCAACTGGTCCTCCTTCAGTTTCTATTAGAATTAAAATGGGTGAGATTATTTTTATATTCTTCCATATTAACATTAACCTCTATTAAAGATCACCCTCTTGTGTTTTCTCTACAACTAGGAAAAGGATCCCGTCAGAAAGAAGTGCTCTGCTGTGTCTGCTGTAAGAAGGCCCAGTTGTGAATGGATGGAGATAATGGAGCCAAACACAAATGACTGGCCAGGAGTCAGATTCTCACTTTACATGTAGCTGCCATTTTAGAAAATGGCAATTATACTGTCATTATTTCATTTTATAATTCTTCTGGAATATGTTTTAGAAATCAATAATTATGATTTTTCTTCATCCATACTGGAATATTGGCCAGATACCAAAACTCTTCATGCCATAGGATGCGTTGTGCTTTAGTTTGGGAACTTTCAGGTGCAGTTGACCAGTAAGTAAAACTGGATTAGTTAAGAAGGACACTTAATTACTATCATATGTCAATAAATCTGGAAGCAGGGAGTTCCACCATTGTGACTCCATGTTAGGCCTGCAGATAGGCTTCTAGCTCTTGGCTTCCCCTTTGGTTCCCTGGGGCCTCCCATTGTCAAGTCCTCACATTTCATGGGACCACAGCAGAGGCAGGAAGAGTGGCAGAAACTCCCCCTTTGCAGCTGTTCCATTAGAAAAGAAAACCTTTCCTTGAAGATCATCCCCTTAGGTCCTACTGTTGGAACCTGTCATACCACTCTTAGCTGCAAGGGAGGCTGTGAAAGTGAGGATCTGGGGGGTGGCTGGTGGCAGGGCTCTAGGAGTAAGGAAATCAAGGAAGTGAGAATGGCTGTTGAGAGATAAGCAACAGTCAGGCACACATTGCTAGTTGAAATGAACTTTCATGGAGTCTCATTTTGCCAACATGCCTCATCTTCCAGAGTATTTTGTTCAGGGTTATGAATTAAGTGTGATCTAGACCCTAGAAAACCTTGATATCTACATTTTTTTTTCCTTTTGAAATTCACACAATACAATTCTCTGTACTGTTGGTGTGAAATAAATGTCCAACAGTTTACTACTTGTTTCACTCATAATGTGTATAAACAGGGTACCATAACTGCTTAGTTCCTTTTTGTTAGGCCCCTCCCTTCCCTTTTGGAGACTTCATTAAAAACAATGACACAATTCTGGAATATTACATTGTTTCTTTCTTTTAAGTTATATGATATGACTTTAAAAAATAGACAAATATAGACAATACAGAGAAACTTTATTGAATCTTCTCTCTGAAGGGCTCATGGAAGTGGAAGAATCTTTATACTAAAAAATTTTGGGGGCATCTGGGTGGCTCAGTCAGTTAAACGTCCAACTTTGGCTCAGGTCATGATTTCAAGCTCATGAGTTCAAGCCCGCATTGGGCTTGGTGCTGACAGCTCAGAGCCTGGAGCCTGTTTTGAATTCTGTGTCTCCCTTTCTCTCTGCCCCTCCCCGACTTGTACTCTGTTACTGTCTCTCTCAAAAGGCA